CGCCGCCGGGCGCCGCGCCGCGCCGCGAGCCGCCGCCGCCGCCGCCGCGCGACGGCGGCTTCGATCCGCGCGTCGAGGCCATCCTCGCGCGCTACCGCCCCGCGGCGGCCGTCTCGGGCGCCGACGAGGCGAAAGGCGCGGACTCCGACGACGCGATGGTCGTCGAGGTCCTCGCGTCGCTCGGGCTCTCGAACTACCTTCCGCTCTTCCGATCGCAGGAGATCGACGACGACGCGCTCCTCGGCCTCGAGGCCGGCGACCTCAGCGACATCGGCGTCGCGCCGGGCGCGGCCGCGCGCATCCTCGCCGCCATCGCCGCGGCGCGCCTGGTGCAGCGGCGGGCTCCGCCGCGCGCGGCTGATGCCGCCGCGGCGGACGCGGCCGTCGACGACTCCGCGCGGCGCGTCGCGGAGCTCGAACTCGCGGAGCCGCCGGACGACCTGCTCTGCCCCATTTCCTTCGAAATCATGAAAGATCCCGTGATGGCCGACGACGGCAACACGTACGAGCCTGTGTGCAAATCAACCACTGGTTTGGCCAAACTTCTCTAGCTCGGTCAAATCGAAGTCGATTTGGCTGATTTTTGGACTCATCGATTGCGCACAGCGAAAGTGCTTGTTTCAAAACATTCGAATACGCGCCCATTGAAGTCGGGTTGAAGATCTGATTTGCACACAGGTACGAGCGCGCGTGCATCGAGGCCTGGTTCCGCAAGGGCAAGCGGACGTCGCCCGCGACGGGCGCGCCGCTCGCGTCGCCCCAGCTCCGGCCGAACCTCCTCGTCCGGCGGCTCACGGCGAGCTTCCTCGAGAGCCGGAGGGGCCTCTAGGGCGCCGCCGCATCTCCTTGGGCTTAAGTCTAGGCCTCCCCCAGCAGTAGCCGGGCCTGGCGAGTCCTAGGCGAGGTGCTAAGAAGATGGAGCCGCTACGCGCGCTCCCCCCGGAGCGCGACGAGCAGCCCCGAGAGCACGACGACGCTCGCCCCCGTGAAGGCCGCGGAGACGAGGAAGGCGGCGCCGTAGCCGTAGTCGTGGACGAGGAACGCGCCGATGGCCGCGGACCCCGCCCAGGTGCCCCGGTTCACGGACTCGACGGCGTTCCAGCGGCCGCGGCTCTTCTTCGCCGTGTGGTCCATGAGGACGGCCTTCTCGATGGCGCGCGTGCCGACGGGGACGCCGAGGTAGCAGAGGAAGGCGCCGCCGGAGACGCGGACGTCGCCGCTCAGCGCGAGCGCCGCGAGCGCCGCGGGCTCGATGAGTCGCACGAGGACCATCGTCGGCGCGCGGCCGACGGCGCGCGCGAGCGCGTCGCAGGCGAGGGGCGCGCCGACGCTCAGGACCTGCGCGGCGAGGACGACGGCCGTGAGCGTCGTCGGTTTGAGGCCGAAGCCGTCCGCGAAGCGCACGGGGATGTACCTGCGCGGTCAGGGTTCCGAGCGGTAAAGGAAACGACGGCGCCGAAGCCGCGCCGCATCGTCGCGCCCTTGCCGACGACGCGGAGCACGACGGCGCCGAGGATGATGAGCGACGGCCGCCGGTACCAGGGGACGCGCGGCGGCGCCGCGGCGCCGGCCCCCGGGAGCAGCGGCCGCGAGAGGTCCGGCTCCTCGGGCGGCGGGTCGCGGACGGCCGCGAGCAGGGCCACGCTCAGGCAGAGCACGACGCCGACGGCCATGATCTTCCGCAGGCCGCCGAGCGCCCAGTCGTCGCCGGCGACGGCGAAGAACGCGAGGTTCGCCGCCTGGCCTGTGTGGAAATCAACCACTGGTTTGGGGGGTCCTCACCAAACTTCAGAACTCTCTATCTCGGTCAAAACAATACGGTAACATTGAAGTGGGGTTGAAGATTTGATTTCCACACAGCGCCTGGCCCGCGACGTTGCCGAGGCGCCAGAGCGTCGACTTGGCGACGAAGGCGAACTGGCGCTCCGGGCCCCGGGCCGCGGACGACGCGAGCACCGAGTCCGTGAAGATGCCCTGGGCGGAGAGGAGCAACCCCCAGAGGCCGAGCGCGCCGTAGGTCGCGGCGGAGTTCGCCGCGTCCGAAACGAAGGGCCGCCGGAGCGCGCCGAGGACCGCGGCGAGCGCGACGACGCCGACGGCCGACGGTGAAGTTGCGCGCGCCGCGCACGGACTCGGAGCGGTCGAACCAGGTCCCGAAGGCCGGCGCGGCCGCGAGCGCGACGAGGCCCTGGAGCGACTGCACGAAGCCGACGGATCGGCGGCCCATGGACTCGTCGAGGAAGACGGGGAAGACGTTGCGTTCCCAGGTGGACCAGCCCGCGTGGAACAGGAAGCCGTAGATGGCGATGAGTTTGCAGTTCTTGTGGAGACTCCGCCACTTGGCGCGAACCGTTCGGTCCGCGAAGTCGGGCTCGATGGTCGTGGGCACGCGCAGGTAGTGGTCGGTCGCCTCGATCATCGTTTGTGGCGTCGAACGCTCGCGCGCGTCGCGGAGCACGACCCGGTGGCGGATGAAGCCCGCGAGGCGTCGACGGCTTGTCGGCACGCGACGAGATGTGTGGCGTCTCACGAGTGAGATGTTGAGTTGTTCACCACCGACTCGAGCTCGAAACATCGCGCCGCAGCCCACGATGGACGACCAGGTGACGCTGCGCGTCTACTTCCTCGACGGGACGTCGCTGGGCATCGGTTGCACGCGCCTGTCGACGGTCGGCGAGGTGCGCGACCTCGTCGTCGCGAAGCTGCGCCTGCCGCCGGCGCACGCGGCGTGCTTCGAGCTCTACGTGGCGCCGGAGCGGGGCCCGCTCTGCGACGAGCTCGCGCGCGAGGCCATCGCCTCGGGCGTGGACCTGCGCGAGCGGAGCGCGGGCCCGCCGCGGCGCCTCACCTTCGCCGTGCGGCTCTACGTCGACGGCGCGACGCTCGGCGTGCGGCGGCGCAAGGCGACGCTGCGGCTCTGCTACGCGCAGGCCTGCAGCGCGGTGTCGAGCGGCGAGTACGCGGCGCCGTCGTCGGAGGCCCTCCTCGAGCTCGCGGCGCTGCGCTGCCGGGGCAGCCGCGGCGTCGGCGCCAAGGCCGGCGAGGCGCCCGCGGAGGAACTGCGCCGCTTCGAAGCCATCGCGCGCGACACGGCGCCGCGCTTCCTCCCGAAGGCGGCCCTCGACGCCATGCCGCTCGACGCCGTCGCCCGGGGCGTCGCGGAGCGCATCGCCGCGGGCCTCCGGCGGGACGCGGCCAAGGACGGCGGCGACGGCCGGCCGCGCGTGCCGTCGATCGGCGACGCGACGCCGCGGCGACCGGCGCGCCACTGGGCCGCCGCCGACGCCGCCCGGGCCCAGTACCTCGACGTCGTCGAGCAATGGTTCTGCCACGGGCTGGCGCTCTACGACGCGTCGGCCGTCCGCGTCGCGGCGCTCAAGGCCGCGCCGCCGAAGGACCGCGAGGAGGCGCGCCGCACCTGGGCCCACGCGAAGACTTACGCGGGCGAGACGACGGCGCCGGCCTTCGCCGTGTCCCAGAGCGCCGTCGTCGTCTTTCTCGCCGGCGACGAGGCCTCGGCGGAACGGTCGCGGTCGTCGTATTTCGGGCCCCGCGCGCGCAAGGCCGCGGTGCCGCTGGCCAAGATCACGCGCTGGGGCCACGCGCCCGACGCCTTCTTCCTCGAGGCGCGGGCCGAGGACGCGCAGGACGTGCTCCGCCTCGTCAAGGGCGACCGGAAGCGGACGTCCGTCTTCGGGGGCAAGCGCGACGACGCGCCGCGGGGCCTCGCGCGCGTCATCGTCGACACGCCGGACGGCGCGCACGTCGCCGAGCTGCTCCGGGACTACGCGATCCGCGCGCTCCGGCGGGCCGAGGACGCGGCCGGCGGCGGCGACGACGACTCGACGACGGACGACGACGGCGACGGCCACCGCGCGGTCGCGAAGCGCCACTGGCGCGCCGCGGCCGAGGCCGTCATCTTCGCGTCGTCCGGACGGCCCGAGACGCGCGCGCCGGGCCCCGCGGCCAAGGCCAAGGCCGCGACGCGCTGGAAGCACGTCCGCGCCGCGGCCACGGAGGACCTCGGCCCCAAGGCCCGCGCGGCCATCGGCGTCCAGGCGGTCTGGAAGGGCGCGGCGCTCCGCCGGCGCTGGGCGCGCGAGGACGCGGCCGCGCTCATCCAGTCGCTCGCGCGCGCGGCCGCGGCGCGCACGGCCCTCGTCACCGACGAGGCCGCCTGCCTGCTCCAGGCCCTCGCGCGCGGGCGCGGCGCGCGCGCGGCCGCGGCGTCGCCGCCGGTCGCGGCGGTCGCGGCGGTCGCGCCCGCGCCGCGCTTCGACGCCGCGGACCTCCGCGCGGCGGTCCTCGTCCAGAGCCACTGGCGCCGCTTCCACGTGCACCGGGACCTCACGGACCTCGAGCAGAGCCTGGCCGCGGTGCATCTGCAGGCCGTGTTTCGCGGACATTTCGCGAGGGCGGAGATGGCGTGAGTTGTCTAATCTGTGGAGGGACGACGGCGAGGGGCGCGCGGGAGGGGATGACGACTCGGATGACTTTCCCGCAGATTCACAGTATCTTGAACTTCAAGTTGAAGACTTATCAGTCCACTTGCCAGTCCACTTCCTGCACGACCATGTCGCGCAGTGGCATCGTCAGGCCCGACGACCAGCAGGGCGCGGAGTTCAAGAGCATCGTCGGCCCCATCGAGAGCCTCGAGTTCCCCATGCCTACACTACTGAGAAACCCGCTCGACCGGCTCGAGGGCGTCCCCAGCCACGTGTCGCGGAACACGACGCTGAACGAGCTCAGCCAGATGGACTTCCACGGGGCGGACGTGGATCCGGTTGTGATGAGCGACGACTTCCTCACGTCCGACGCCGCGAAGACGACGATCGGCGACCTCGGAGACTTCAATTCCACGCGCGGCCTCGCGGCGCTCCTCGACGGCTGCACGAACGAGCAGCGCGACTACGTGCGATTCATGGTGGCCAAGGCGCTGTACAAGATCCACAAGGAAGCGTGCCGCCGCGTCTTTGACTTCGCGCCGCCGCGCGACAGCGCGTCCCCCCGCAGGAAGAACCGGCGCTCCAGGCCGCGTACATCGAGAAATGCATCGCCAATCGGAATGGTGTTTTACAGCGACTCGAGGAGATCGGGCCCAGCGGGGGAGTGCCGAAGAAGACGACCGCGCCGAAGACGAAGGCCGCGGCGAAGACGAAGACCGTCTCGAAGAAGAAGAAGTAATAGGTCGGCGCCTGATACGAAACCCGTCCCCAGGTGCCGCGCCTTGTCTGCGGGACTCCCCGAACCCTCGCCCGCAGACGCCCCCTAAGACTCGTGCGCGCCTTCCGTCCTACGACCCGACTAGTCCTACTCCGCCCAGTAGTCGAAGTCGACGGCGCCCTCGTAGGGCTCGATCTCGTCCATGTCGTCCTCGTCCTCGTCGAAGTTGAAGTTGTGGCAGTCGAGGTCGTCGGAGACCTCGGGCTTCCAGGGGCTGCAGGCCGCGTCGAGCCGCTCGACGGCGGCGAGGTCGACGTTCGCTTTGAAGAACGCGTGGTCGAGCACGTCGTCCGCGCCGCGCTTCGACGCGCCGAGCCGGCCGTTCGCGTCGCGGTCCAGCAGCGCGAGGATGCAGTCCTTCGCGTCGGCGAGCGCCGGGTCGTCGAAGGTCGCCGGGATGACGGGGTCCTCCGACTTGATGGTCTTGAAGAGCAAGATCTGGTTGTACGAGCCGTCCTCGGAGACGAACGGCGTCTTCCCCGCGAGCATCTCGAACAGCAGGCAGCCGACGGACCAAAAGTCGGCGGCGAAGGCGTGGCCGCTGCCGTCGATGACCTCGGGCGCGAGGTACTCGGGCGTGCCGCACATCGTGTAGGACCGGAGCTCGTCGTCGCCGAGCCGCTTCCCGAAGCCGAAGTCGACGACCTTCAGGTAGCCGTTGCGGTCCACGAGCAGGTTCTCGGGCTTGACGTCGCGGTAGAGGACGCGCTTCCCGTGGGCGTACTTGAGCGCCAGGATGACGTTCGACGCGTAGAAGGCCGCGTCCTTCAGCGGGAGCCGGTTCCTCTCGTTGCCGTCGTCGCCGTGGAGCAGCCGGTGGAGCTCGCCGCCCATGACGACCTCCAGGATGAGATAGAGGCAGTCCAGGTCGTGGAATGTGCCGTAGCAGCGGAGGATCAGCGGGTGCCGGAGGCTCAGGAGCAGGTCCCTCTCCGACTTGACGTTCCGCGCCTGCCTCGTGAGCACCACCAGCGACTTGGACAGCACCTTCAGAGCACACACGGTGTGCGACGCCTCGTGGCGCGCGAGGGACACGCGCCCGAAGCTGCCGACGCCGAGCGTCTTGAAGACCTCGAAGTCGTCGACGGCGGACGCGCGGAGCGCGATCGTGTGCGCGCGCGGCCGCGCGCCGCCGGGCTCGACGAGGAGGGACCGCGTCGACACGTTCACCGACGTCCGCCGCGGCGTCGTCAGGCTCGGCCGCTGCGGCGCCTCGACGGTGTCGTCGTCGGAGAGCGCGTCCGTTTTGACGGGCTCGACGACCTCCTCGTACTGCTTCCGGAACGCCTCGTCCGCGAGGGCCGCGGCGCTCAGCCGGTAGCAGGAGACGCTCTCGCTCTCGGCGACGACCGTGAACGCGTAGCAGTCCGCGTCGTCGTCCAGGGCCTCCTCGCCGCACGCGCCGCCGCGCTCCACGGGGACGAGCTTCGGCTTCGGCTTCCGCGCGAGCGGGTTCGACGACGGCCGCGCCTTGGCGGGCTCGACGCGGTGCGCGACGCCGCTCTTGACGACGAAGAGGTGGTCCGCCGGCTCGTCGGCGGTCGCGATCTCGTCGCCCTTGACGAACGTGACGACGTCGACGGCCTCCGCCAGCCGCCCGAGGTCGAGGTCCTCCGCCCGGCCCGCGAGGGCGACTTCGAGGACGTGCGTCCGCAGGTTGTGCTCCAGGATGTCGCTCAGCATGCCCAGGTGCGCCTCGAAGACCTCGCGGGAGATCGCGAAGCAGCGCGTGTCCTCCTGCGTCGCGTCGACGTCCGCCGCGCGCGTGTCGTTGTAGAGCAAGGCGCGCTCGCCGAAGTGGTCGCCGGGCCCGAGGGCGACGTCCGCGGACTCGACGCGGCAGACGACGGCGCCGCTGTGGACGACGTACATCGCGTCGCCGACGTCGTCGCGCCTAAAAGAACAATTCGACCTTCAAAAGCATCATTGAAAACGCTGCGCTCGCGCGTGATGATGCGCGCGCCGTTGCCGTAGCGCCGCAGGCTCACGAGCCGCGCGACGCGCCGCAGCTGGTCCTCCGTCAGCGCCGAGAGCAGCTCGACGCCTTTCAAGGCCGAGTAGGCCGCGTCCGCGCGCGCCTCGCTGAGCGACGCCAGCGCCAGCCGGAACGTCGCGCGGTCGAGGCTCCAGGCCGTCGTCGCCTCCAGGGCCGCGCAGGTCACGCGCCGCGTCGCGTCCGTCAGCAGCAGCGCCGCGTCGCCGAGCGTCTCGCCGGCCTCGAAGACGCAGGCCTCGGCGCTCTGCTCGTCGATGGCCGCGAGCTTGCCCGACTCGACGACGTAAAAGTGCTCCGACGCGTCGGCGCGGTGGAAGAGCAGCTCCTCGGGCTCCAGGTCCACGCGCGCCATCGCGGCCACGAGCTCGTCCGTGTGCATCTCGTCGACCTTTTCGAAGACGAAGTGGCCCCGGAGCGCGCGCCGCAGGAGGGCCGCGGTCGTCGCCGTCTTCTCGTGGGCGACGATCTCGAAGCTCGCGATGTCGGAGAGCTCCATGCGCTCGCCGAAGATCTTGCCGCCCTGCTTGGCATTGGTGGTCGTGTCGTCGACATCGTACTTGGAGTGGACGAGCGCTTCAAAAGCTGCCATTTTGTGTCCTCGTGGTCCTCAGGGGCTCAAACGTTACTCCTCCGGTCTTTTCCGGGGCTTACTCCTGCCTATGCGACGTCCAGGGCTGCCATTGCCACTGCTCTAGATGTCGACGGAGGTACTGTGAAGTAATGATGCAGATTTAATCCTGATAACGCAAACGTCAAAGATTCATACCGCGCAAAATATTGGGTTTGTGAGCGAGCTCAGCCTGAAAAAAGCCGTGTGGTGCTTGTCGAGCGTCGCGTGTCGAAGCACAGCCCGAGGCAGACGCCCCGAAATCCGCCGGATTTCGCACTTCTGTCTCTTCCACGGTCTAGCGCCCCGACGCCGACGACCATGATGAAGTTCCTGACGGCAGCCCTTCTCGCGGCGCTCGTTGCGCCCGCCGCCGCCGTCTCCGCGGACGCGAACGGGGCCCCGCTCGCGGAGTTCCGCGCGTCGGACAACCTCAACATGGACGCGGCCTCGATCGAGAAGGAGGCGGCCCAGGCGCAGGTTCGCCCCGGCGTCGGAAAACACAGCCGCGCCGTGCGCGCGCTCCCATCCCTTCCGCTCGTCCCGTTTGGCCAACTCCCCCCCCCCTCGACCGAGTCGACCACCGCTGGCCGGGCCGCACCGTGCGCCCCACCGCCGCTGCCGCGCCGCCGTGCCCCGCCCCCGCCCCCCCTGGGCGCTGGTGCTGTGCGCGGCACCTGTGCGCCGCGCCGCGGGGCAGCCCCGGGCGCCGCGCCGCGTGTGCCGGCGCCGCCGTGGGGCAGCCCCCGGGCGCGCCGGTGCCCCGCTGCGGGTCGAGGGCACTGCCGAGCCGCGCCGCCGCGGGGCAGCCCCGGGCGCGCGGGCGCCGCCCGCGCCGGCTTCGGCTTCGGCTTCGGCCTTCGCCGCGGCCACGTGCCACCCACGGCCTTGGCCCCTTGGCACGCTACCTCGGCTTGGGTGCGGCGGACCTTGGCCTCGGCCCGGCGGGCCTTGGCCTCGGCGTGGCGGGCCTTGGCCTCGGCTCGGCGCGCCTGGCCTCGGCTTCGGCTTTGGTGTTCGCGGCCTCGGCTTCGGCCCTGGCGCTCGCCTGGTCTCTGCCTTGGCTTGCGCCGTTGCTGCGGCGCACGGCCTCGGCCTTCGCCCTCTGGCAAGCCGCCTGGGCCTCGACGCGGTCCCCTCACTTCAACTCGAACTTCCAATATTCGACTCGAACTTCAACACTCGATTCGAACTTCCAATATTCAACCGAACTTCAACAAAAGTCGCACGGTCCCTTACTCGTGCTTTACTCGTAGGGGCGCATGCAAGAGATGTTCCACGACGTGCGCCGATTGATGTACAGCTACGATTTCTCCTCCACGTGTGTCTCCTCCCTCCTGGCCTGCGTAGAGGAATCCGATTGCGGCGCAGACGAGACCTGTGCGTCCCCTGCGTCCTGTCTTGTTTTGCGCGGCGCGTGTGCGGCTGTCCTGATTCGCGCGTCGCGCGCAACCTCCGATGTTGAACTTCACTGTCGACTTCAACTTCAGGTTACTTCTCAAGTTCCAGGAAGAAGCGCCAGCTCAACGCCGCGTCCGAGGACTCTGCGAGCCGCAAGCTCCTCTTCGGCTCCAACGCCGTCGGCCAGTGCGTGTGCGACTAGATTGCCGCCGAAACCCGCGCGAGATGAGCCGCCCTCGCTGCGAGGTCGAACCACCCATTCCCGCCTTTCCACGCCCCTCCGCGTCCCGCCCTTCCGAAGTTCCTACCTGCCCCAGCCTTAAACTCAACACCATGAATATGCAAGAGATGCGCGCGCGCGCCCCAGGAGGCAGATTTGAAACAAAACAACTAGCCGCTACCCGCCTCCAAGAACGGGCACACGTCCGTCTCGCCCCCGACGCTGTCCCAGGGCACGAGGCGGTAGGCGGCCTGGCGGTCCTGGTCCGCCTTGGGCGTCGGGATCGCGACGGTCGTCACCGTCGACCGCCCGTCGACGTTGACCTCGAACGCGAACGCCGTGCCCCGACTGTCGTACTTGTTCGTGTCGTCGAGGGACGTGAACGCGACGAGGTAGTCGCCGTTGGCGAGGGCCGCCGCGGAGCCGCCGACGAGGTTGTAGAGGTCGTCGGTCTTGAAGTTGACGTCGAGCGCGGACGGCCACTCGAACTGCCAGCGGACCCTGGCGACGCGCGCGGCCGCGTCGAGCTCGTAGGCGATGGCCCGCGAGTAGCAGCCGGACGTGTTCGCCGTCGCGCAGCCCGGGCGGTCGTCGCCGTCGTCGATGACGAGCAGGTCGCCGTTGGGCAGCTGCAGCGCCGAGTGCGGGTCGTAGAACTTTTCGTCGTCGTCCTCGAAGGCGTACCAGATCCCGCCGTCGCCGACGCCGGCGTCCGACGCGTTGAGCGTCGACGACAGGGTCCACTGGGCGCCCGAGCCGTCGTGCGCGAGGGACCAGATCGTGTTGAGCGTCCGCGACGCGACGAGGACGTTCTCCTCGACGCCGACGGACACGGCACGTCNCTTCACGTGGGTGGTTCCACGTTCCATAAAAAGCATTAACGCTTCGCGAGCGCTCCGAGAGATGATCGCTCGTCCAAAAAGCAGCCGAAACGAGTGGGAAACCGCCATGAGAGAAGTTCGCGCCCTTTTCCCGCCCCGGACGACGCGTGGTGGTACTCGACGCCCTCCATGGTCGCGTTGCCGCTGCACCACATGTCGACGTCGTCCCAGTTCTTCGTGACGAAGGGCGTCGCCGACCCGGCCACGGGCTTGGCGAGGTCGAAGAGGTCGTAGACGACGTCGAGGCCTGGGCAGCAAAAGGGTGCGAAATTCCCAACTTCAAAGGCTCCTATCTCGGTCGTTTTCCGCTCGTTTTGGCTGATTTTTGGACGAGCGATCATCTCTCGGAGCGTTCTCGAAGCGTGGGTGCTGTTTCCGAAACGCGCGCGCGCGGAAAACTCACGTTGAAGCGACGTTGAATCACCCTTTTGCTGCCCTGGTCGAGGCCGGCCTCGGTCCACCGCGCGATCTGCGACCCGAGGAACGCGTCGGCCTTGACGGTCGCGTAACCGCCGTCGTCGTCCGTGCCCCAGAGCAGGTCGACGCCGGGGATGCGGCGCGCGGCGTAGCGCGTCGTCCAGACGCCCGCCGCGGCGCCGGCGCCGCCCTTTTTCGCCGTCGCGCGGTCGACGCGGCACTCGTGGCTGACCATGTTGTAGTTCAGGGGCGAGCCCGCGCAGGCGCTGATGAACTGCTTCCGGATGTCGCCGAGGGGCGAGATCTCCTGGAGCTGCGAGTTGCCGTTGTACGTCCGCCCGTCGTCGCGGTACGTCTTCGCGCCGTCGAGCTTGGTCCCGTCGTCGCGGGCCACCAACACGACCCCGTTGTCGGGCAGGAAGTCCCAGGCCTCGAGGCTCCACGCGTGGTAGTACCACACGACGTACCCTTCCGCGTCGATGGCCAGCAAGCCGTCGAACTCCTTCGTGCGATTGTGCGTCGAGTTGTACTTGGACCTACGACGCCGCGTTCCCGGCCCGAATCTCTCGAAGCAACGGACGCCGAGCGCGACTCGTAGGGGTCGTCGAAGCCCAAATGGTCCTCCTGGACGGCCATGGTCAGCACGTTCCAGGACGGGCTGCCGGCGACCGTCGCGTAGGCGCGGGACGTCGCGTTGCCGTCGAGGCCGCGCGGTCCCTCGTCGAAGGCCGCCCAGCCCGTGCCCTGCGTCTCGAAGGCGCCGCGCCACTCGATGGTCGTCGCGCCGTCGACGGACACGACCAATGCGACGTCGTAGAAGGTCGACGGCCGCAGGCGCAGCAGCGCGAAGGACGTCGCGGAGCAGTCCGACGAGAGCCAGAGCGGCGGCAGCGACGACTCCGCCGGGGCGTAGCGCGCGGCGACGGTGCAGCCCTCCGCCGACGCGACGTCGAAGGTGAGATTGGCGTACAAATTCATCTTCGCCGAGGCGGGCGGCGCGTGGAGCGCCGGCGTCGACAGGAGCAGCCCCCGCGCGTCGCCGAAGCTGCCGCAGGAGCCGCCCAGCGCCTGGAGCCGCAGCGACGCTTGCGACGGCGCGACAGTCACCGCGACGTAGGCGGCCACGGCGATGGCGGCCGCCACGGCGAGGACCCTGCCCCGCGCCGGCCCCATCATCATCCAATAGCCCGCGGCCGTATCTTCTTCACCATGCATCGTAATCGTGCGGGGCGAATCAAAGGTGGTGGCGGGAGAGAGGCTGGGCGCCGCGGTTTAGCCCCATGGGGAACGACGTCGCCAAGCAGGCGGTGTCGCCGCTCGTCGGCGCCGTCGCCGCCGTCCAGGGCAAGAACAAGCTGCGGTCCGTCTTCGGCTCCAAGCCCGCGGCGGGCTCCATCGTCTTCGTCGGGAGCCAGACCTTCCAGAACTGGGACTCCCTGAAGAAGGACATGCACGGCCTGCCCGTCGTCAACTGCGGCTTCGTCGGCGCCATGTCGAAGCACCTCGTCACGTACGCGCACCACGTCGTCGCGCTGCGGCCGCGGCTCATCGTCTGGTGCTGCGGCGCGGCGGACCTCGAGTGGGGCCGCGCGCCGGAGCAGCCCTTCGAGACCTTCAAGCGCGCGCTGCGCGAGTTCCGCGGCGTGCACCCGGAGCTGCCCGTGGTCTACGTGTCGCCGATCGTGACGCCGCACCACAAGGACCTGGGGCAAGCGCTCTGCCAGAAGTTCGCGCGCTTGCACCGCCTCGTGGCCGACTACGCGACGGGCGACGCGCTCCTCTACGTCGTCGACGTCAACGACAAGGCCTTCTCCACGGACGCCTTCAACTACGAGGTCGACCGCACGCGCCTCACGGCCGGGGGCAACCGCCTCCTCGCCGCGGACGGCGCGGGAAAAGGGTGCGAGATTCCCAACTTCCAAGGCTCCTATCTCGGCCGGTTTCCACTCGTTTCGGCTGATTTTTGGACGAGCGATCATCTCTCGGAGCGCTCTCGAAGCGCATATGTTTATCCCGGAACGCGCGTGCGCGGAACACACACTTTAGAGCGACGTTGAATCATCCTTTTCCTGCCCAGGCCGCGGAGCTGTACCCGACGGTCGCGCGCGCCTACGCGACGTCGACGACGAACCTCCCCCACAGCCCCGACGCCAAGGCCAACGAGATCGTCATGGAGTGCCTCGACGACCACGTCGCCAAGCACGTGCCCGACGACGACGTGCACCACCACGTCGCGGAGCCGTCGCCGACCGCGCGGGAAGAGCGCGCGACGCGCCCGACTTCAAAGGCTCCTCTCTCGGCCGTGTTCCACTCGTTTCGGCTGATTTTTGGACGAGCGATCGGCTCTCGGAGCGCTTTCGAAGCGTCGATGCTCGCTTTGAAACGCACGCGCGCGGAACACTCACGTTGAACCACAATTTCCCCGCCCAGGTCGCCGAGCCGCGCGAACTCGCTGACGCGCGGCGGCTCGAACCGCGGGTCGACGGCCTTCACCTGCATGTCGCCCACGAGCGCCAAGGCCATGATCGACGTCGCCAAGGAGGCGTCGGAGTCGCGCGACGGCGCCGTCGACGCCGGCGCGGCCGCCGCGGCCGCGGCGAAGGCGGACGCGCCGCCGTCGCCCGAGGAGGAGCCCAAGGCGGAGCCGCCGGCGCCGCCGCCCGTGCCCATCGAGGGCCTCGAGTACGAGGAGCCCCCCGTCGAGGCGCCGGGCCTGACCATCGCCCCGCCGGCCGCGGACGAGAGCGAGGACCCGCGGGGGCCCGCGAAGGCCGCGGCGCCCGAGGAGCCGCCCCCGGAGACGCCGCCGTACCCGCTGGCCGCCGGCGACGACGACGACCCCTGGGAGGAGAAGTTCGACGAGCACTCCGGCCTGCCCTACTTCGTGCACCGCGTCACGGGCGAGTCCGCGTGGGACAAGCCGGGCGCGGAGCTGTGCCGAATTCAACAACTATTTGGGTTATTCCAGCCAAACTTCAAACCTCTCTAGCTCGGTCACATCGAAGTCGTTTCGGCTGATTTTTGGACGGATCGTTTTCTCTCGGCGGGTTCTTTTTAGACAGCGACAAAAACTATGTCAAAACCGTGCGAATACGGAAGTCGGGTTGAATATTTTTGTTTCCCGCCCAGGCACGGAGGACGCGTACGCGGAGGCGCCCGACGGCGCGCCCCTCGACGACCTCGACGACCTCGGGTCCGAGGAGAGCGTCTACGAGACGACGACGGAGAACAACCCCGGCGCCTGGGGGACCGTCGTCGACTCGAAGCCCGACGAGGAGGGCGAGGACGGCATGGCGTCCATGCTCGGCGCGATGATGGCGCGCGACGACGACGCGGAGACGGTCGGGTCCGAGGAGAGCGTCTACGAGCACACGACGGAGAGCAACCCGGGCATGTGGGGGACCGTCGTCGACTCGAAGCCCGACGAGGAGGGCGACGACGGGATGGCGTCCATGCTCGCGGGCATGATGGCCACCGGCGACGAGGGCAAGCCCTAGGGAGGCCCCGGCGGGCGGCGGCGGCGCGGTTTCTTTGCGCCTCGTAACGTGTGTCATCGTGGTCTTTTAAGGAGGCGTAGGTCGGAAAGCCTCGATGAACTTCAAGTTGAAGCCTGGTTGAATGGTGAACCCGGCCGCGAGCTTTGTGCGCATTGCAATGCTTGTCCGCCTCTAACACCGACCGCTGCACCCACCGATGCGCCTGTCCGCCGTCCTCGAGGAGGGCTTCGAGCTGCTGCGATGGAGCGTGCTCGCGGCGAGCACCATCGGTCCCGGCACGGTGATCGTCTGCAGCAAGGCCGGCGCCGACTACGCGCTCACGCTGCTCTGGGCGCTGGTGTTGGCGTCCTTCGTCGCCTACGCGCTCCAGGAGGGCGCCGCGCGGCTGAGCCTGCTGGGCCGCACGACGCTCGGCCGGGCCATGCGCACCATGTGGGGCGGCGGCGCGGACGCGACGCCCGGTGGCTGCTACGCCGTCGCGGCCGGCGTGCTCCTCGGCAACACGGCCTACCAGGCGAACAACTTCGTCGGCGCCGCCGAGGCGCTGTACGCGCTGGGCGCGCCGCGGTCGGACCCGGGCGTGCGGTTCTTGATGCACCTGGCCTGCGGCCTCGCGGTGCTCGGCACGCTCTTTTTCGCGGACGTCGACCGCGTCTCCGCGGGCCTCGGCGTCGTGTCCGTGCTCATGATCGTTACGTTTGCCTTCGCTTTGAGCCAGCTGGGCCTCGACGGCGGCGAGCTCGTGCTGGGGCTGCTGCCGTCGAAGCCGCCCCGGGGGTCGGGCATCGTCGCGGTTTCCATGGTCGCGACGACGGCGATCCCCTTCAACGCTTTTTTAGCGTCCTGCGCGGCCAAGCCCCCGGACGCCGGCGGGTCCCTGGGCGCCGCGGTGTCGGGCATGCGGCGCGGCGTCACGCTGGCGACGGCGATCGCGCTGGTTTTATCGGTGCTCATCGTCGCGACGGGCGCGGGCGTCGCGCGCCACGTCGACGACGACGGCGCCTTCTCCGTCGAGAGCCTCGTGGACGCGCTGCGCGCCGCCGAGGGCGGCTTCGCCGTGGCCTGCTTCGGGCTCGGCCTGTACGCGGCGGCGTTCTCGAGCGCGCTGACCGTCGCGCTCGGCGCGGCGCTCTGCTGCGCGTCGTTGCTCGCGCACGACGACGACGACCGGCGGTGGCGCCAGCCCGACGGGCCCTACACGCGCGGGGTCATCGTCTTCGTCGTTTTGGTCGCCGTCGTCGTCGGGTCGTCGGGCGCGTCGACGGTGGGCGTCGTGCTCATGGCGCAGGTCATCAACGGCGTGCTGCTACCAGTCGTCGCGCTGTGTTTGGTGCTCTGCTACAACGACCCGGCCGTGCTCCGCGCGCCGCCGCCGGCCTTCCGCAACGCGTCCCAGGTCGCGTGCTTCTCCGCGACGGCGTTCCTCGCGACGAACGGCCTCCTGTCGAAGATTTTGAGCGACGACGCGAGCCTGGACGCGGCGTTCGTGATGGCGTTCCTCGCGACGGCCGCGGTCTGCGTCGTGCTGCGGCGCATGCGGGCCGCGCCGCGGGCCAGCGAGGTCGAGATGCGGCCGTCGGCGCCGTCGCGGGCGCCGGAGTCGCCGTCGACGGCGAACCCGCTCCGCGTGCGCACGGACTCCGACTCCGACGACGACCCGCAGCGGCGGCCCTCCGCGGAGACGCTCGAGCCCATGACGCCCCACGAGGCGTCCCGGATCTCCTCGGTCTTCCTCGAGGACGACGAGGACGACGTCGCCTAAAGAGCCTAGAGCTCGCATGTCGACTCGGGATCTCTCCTCGGACGGTATGGCTTACCCTAGCCCGCGTTTCGCGACGCGGCCCGGGCCTCGTCGTCGACGGCCCTGGCCACGAAGTCCTCGACGTCGAGCGCGAGGGCCGCGTAGTCGCTCGTCGCGTCGAGCTTGCGCTCGATCCAGGCCGCGTCGTACCGCGCCATCTTGCGCGCCAGTGCTGGTACGGCGCGGGCCCGGTCGAGCGCCGCCGCGACGCGGCGCCGCGCGGAGGACCGCGGCGACTCGGGCGGCGGCGCCGCGGACCGGTCCTCGAGGGCCGGCTTCTTCCGCGGCGGCGGCGCGCCGCGCTCCGCGGCCATCTGCCGCTCGATCTCCTCGCGCAGGTCCCGGGGCAGCTCCGCGAGGGTGGTCGGGTCGACGTCCGCCGCGCGCGGCCGCGCCTCGTCGGGCGCCTCGGAGGGCCGCTTCCGCGGGCTCGCCTCGCGCCGCGGGCTCGCCTCGCGCCGCGGGCTCGCCTCGCGCCGCGGGCTCGCCTCGGAGGGCCGCGGGCTGGCCTCGGAGGGCCGCGTCTTCTTGAAGAGCGCCGTCACGGGCGTCGCCGCCGGCGCGGCGACAAAGTGCGTCGCCGTCAGCGTGAGCTTCGCGACGCGGCGGTCCTCGTCTTTGGACCACGACTGCAGCGCGGACGCGGCGGCGTCGACGATGGCGTGGACGCGCCGGTAGAGGCCCGGCGGCACGTCGTCGTCCGTGCCCCGCTCGCAGCCGGCCTTGACGCGCGCCGCGAGGTCCGCCTCGGCGGCCGCGGACGGCGCGGGCGCGAGCGCCGGGAACGCGACGGCGCGCGACGAGACGCCGCCGGCGACGTAGTTGCTCCCCGGCAGCGGCTCCGGGTCCGTGCCGCAGCCCTGGACGGACAGCGACAGCCTCGTCGGCCGCCGGCGGCCGTGGAGCGCGGCGTCGTGGCGGAGCCGCTCCTCGAGGTCGAGCGCGAGCGCGAAGAGGATCCAGAAGCGGCGCGTGTCGTTCGTCTTCAGGGGCGCGTCCGTCTTCGGGTGCGTCGCGAAGACCCAGGACCCGCCCTTCAATCGAGGAAACGAGAAGCCGTCGCCGTCCGTGCGGCAGAGGTCGCTCATGCGCGCGTGCGTCGTCCAGGACGTCACCGACGCCGACGCGGGCGGCTTCGCCGCGACGGCCGCGGCGTCGACGCCGCGGCACTTGGCGCGCGTCTTCTCGTCCTTCGCGACTTTGAAGTGGTCCGCGCAGGTGCCCTCGGCGGCGACGACGCCGGGGAGCCGCGCCGCGGGCGTCGCCGCGAGGAAGGCGGCGACGGCGGCGCCGCCGTCGAGGACCGTGACGGCGTCCGCGGTGCCCTTGGCCGCCGCCGACGCCAGTTTCGCGAGCAGCTTGTTCGGGCCGCAGCCGACCTACCGAGCGACGAATCGCGCGAAAAGGAACCACCGTCCGGACGCCGCGGCCGACGGACACGGTGAGCTTCGTCGCGCGCTCGACGGCCGCCTTGACGGCGACGCAGAGCGCGCGCGCGGCGGCCGCGCCGGTCGGCTCGACCTCCGCGTAGCCCTCGTCGATGGACGCGCGCTCGACGACGGGCGACCGGCCGCGGAGCGCGTCCTCGAAGGCGGCGAAGAACTCGCGGCTCGCGGCGTTGTAGCGCGAGTAGTTGACGCGCGGGCCGGGCCAGTCGCGGCAAAACGCGTGCACGAGCGCGCCGCCGCGCGGCTCGACGAGCGGCCGCGCCTCGCCGGGCCGCATGTGCTTCCTCACGCCGCAGGCTTTGGCCGGGCGGTTCGCGCAGATCACGTCCTGGTATCTGCGAGCGGCGGCGGGCGCGTCGCGCGCGGCGGGAGGACGCGCGGCGGACGCGGGCGCTACTGCCAGAGCACCAGGGGCTTGGCGTCGTCGAGGCTCGGGTCCAGGCGCCGGTGCACGGCCAGGAAGAAGCTGTCGATGTCGACGTGGATGACGCAGCGGCGGGACAGGGCGTGCGGGTCCATTCGTGCGATGTTGCGGCGTTCAGCGGCGCATGCGGCTCAGCGCGCAGCGGTCAAGAGGTGTTGTCGCGTCCAGCGGCGCAGGCCCAGCGCGCAGCGGGCAAAAAGGCTCCGCAAAAAGACCCATCCGGCGCGGCATCGCAGCCGATGTTTGCCTGCTCGTCCGAGAGTCGGCGCAGTCGGAGCAGTCGAGGTTGTCGAGATGGGGCGCCGTCGACTTGCGTCATCGCTGTGGTTCGCCGCCCTCGTGAGCGCGTCGCTCACGGCCGCGTTCCAGGCGCCGCGGCCGCCGCGCGCGGCCACGTTCCGGCGAGTGGCGAAGCTCAGCGACGAGGTCGAGGACGCCGTGGAGAAGGGCGGCGTCGAGGGTGGCCTCTTCTCCATCTTCAAGTCCGACGGCGACGGCGAGTCCAAGGGCGCCGACGCCAAGGCCCTCCTCGCGAAGTACGGCGCCGCCTACCTCGCCACGTCCATCTCCCTCGCGCTCGTGTCCTTCTCGATCTGCTACCTGCTCATCGACAGCGGCGTCGACGCGGCCGCGCTGCTGGCCCGGGTCGGCATCGACGCGACGGCGGCGACGGAGAAGGGCACGACCATCGCCATCGCCTACGCGGTCCACAAGGCCGCGAGCCCCATCCGCTTCCCGCCGACCGTCGCGCTGACGCCCGTCGTCGCGAAGCTGCTCAAGGGCGACGCCGCGGACGACGACGACGAGTAGGGCCCCTCCGGCGACATTGTGTGATAATTAGAGGCCGAGGGGCTTCCAGATGGGCCGCCCGGGGCCGTCTCTCGGGCTGCCGATGCGGCCGACGTCGGCGGCGCCGCGCGCGTCGAGGGGCGACGCCGGCCGCGACCGGCTCCGCGCGGAGTGCTCGAGGTGGGCCACGCGCGACTCGTAGGCCTCGCGCAGCTTCATGGCCGTCGCGACCTCGGCGGCGAGGAGCGTCTCCTGCTCGATGCGCTGGCTCGTGAGCTCGCGCTTGAGCGCGGCGACCTCGCGCTCGGAGCCGCCGGACGCCCACGCCCGCTGCCGCTTCTTCAGCTTCTTCAGGGGCACGGGCAGCAGGCCGTAGGGCGCGAGCACGTCCAGGTCGTCGAAGATGTCCGGGTCGAGCAGCTCGTCGAAGGACGCGGCGCCGTGGACGGCGACGAGGTGCGCCGCGAGGCCGCGCGCCTTCTCGTCGACCAGCTGGAGCTCGTCGACGAGCCGCGCGGCCATGTCGTCGGCGCGCGCGCGCTCCTTCGGGCTCAACGGCGCGTCCCCGGGCGGCGGCGGCGGCGGCAGCGGGTGCTGCTCGGGCGAGCCGTCGCTGATGTCGCTCGGCGACGACGCGCGGCGCGCGAGCAGCGCCGCGTGCGCCTCGGGCGCCTCCCGCCGCCGCGCGAGCAGCGCCTTGGCGACGCCCTCGTGGGTCCGCAGCCACTCGGACGCCTCGTGCTGCTTCTGGTCGTCGGCGTAGTCCTACGAACGTCGGACGCGTCGTCTCAGAGGCGCCTCTCTCTCCTCTCGCGGACGCCGCGCCGCGCCACGGGGAACTTGCCGTCGATGTCCCGCGCCGCGAGCATGTCGTGGCCGTCGCGCTTGAGGTTGCCGAGCATCTTCAGGGACACGAGCACGTCGACCCGCCCCTCCCACGCCGCAAAGTGCACGGCCGTGCGCCCCCACTTGTCCGCCGTCTCCACGTCGACGCCCAGCTCCGTGACCAGGCAGCGCAGGGCGTCGATCTGGCCGTTGCGCGTCGCGACGTGGATGGCGCTCTCGCCGTGCGCGGCGCAGCCCGCGATCGGGTCCGCGCCCAGCTCGAGAACGAGGCACCGCAGGCTCTCGAGCTGGCCGCTCCAGGCCGCCCGGTGCGCCGCCGTCCAGCCGTCCTCGTCGACGTTGTCCACGGCCGCGCCGCACTCGAGCACGAGCACGCGCATGGCGTCGAGCTGCCCGTGCATGGACGCGCGGTGCAGCGCGCTCCAGCCCAGGGAGTCCTTGGCGTCGACGTCGACGCCGGACATGTTCAGGCGCCGCAGGCCCTCGACGTCGCCGTGCCGCGCGGCGGAGATGGTCTTCACGGCGTGCGTGACCATGGCCGCGGCGGCCCCGGTGGTGGATGGGCGTCGGGCTGCCCCAGTCGTCGTGTGCGATCGCGCTGACTGCAATCTGCGGGAAGCTTTGACCTTGATTGAAGGGGACGCGCGCTCGACCGGCGCCCGTCCGAGGGAGACCTTGCACGTCGCTAAACCCCGGCTAACGCGCGCGTGTTATCGGAGCCGCGACGCGGTGAAGGCCCGCCACGCGGTCAGCCAGACGACGACGTCGACGACCTCGACGACGTACTCCGAGACGTCGATGGGGCACCTGAGGACGGCGACCTGGCCCAGGACCAAGAGCGACCGGAAGTTCGCGGCGTTGACCGCCGCGTCGAAGGACAGCCGCGGCGCGACGTCCGGGACGACGAAGCCGCCGCGGTAGACCGCCGCGCCGATCCAGCAGAGGAGCCACGCGCTCGTCTCGGACACGAGGCCCGGCAGCGCGTCGAGGTCCGACGCGACGACGGGCGCGAAGAAGTCCGCGCCGCCGAGCACCTCGTCGACGAGCTTCTGCGACGTCAAGGCGCAGAGGATGACCGCGGCGTCGCCGGACAGGCGCGCGAACGCCTGCGGATCCTCGTCGATCTGCGCGCGCAGCGCCGCGCGAGGCAGCGGCCGCGCTGAGGCATGATGCAGCGGCTGCGAGGCGCGGCGCGGCAGCGCGAAGCCTGTTGTCGAGGTAGCGATGCGCGGCAGCGGTCGCGGCAGCGCGAAGCCTGTTGTCAAGGCAGCGATGCTGCACAGCTTGATGAGTGCGAGCGCCATGCCAGCGGACATCACGCTTCCTCGCGAGACGCGTCGGCGCGGCGCGACGACGCCGAGGCGCTCCGCGCGCAGCGCGTCGACGACGACGCGGCGGAGGCGCTGGCGCGCCGTGCAAAGGTCGTCGCTGATTGGCTTGTGGCAGAAAGTTGAGAACGAGCAGAGCAACAAGACCTCGAGCACCAAGAAGACCTCGGCGTGATGTTCGTGCACCCCCTGCTCGCTCTGGCCCTCGTCGGCGGCGTCGCGTCGTCGACGAAGACGCGCGCAACGACAGCGCCGAAGAAAGACGCTCCGAACGTCGTGCTCCTCTTCGCCGACGACCTCGGCTTCGGCGACCCCGGCTTCGCCGGCCACCCGAGCAACCTGACGCCGAACCTCGACGCCCTGCGCGCGTCGGGCCGGCGCCTGAGCACGTGGTACAGCGGCTGCCCCGTCTGCACGGGGAGCCGCGCGTCGCTCATGACGGGCCGCGTCTACAGCCGCGTCGGCGTGCCCGGCGTCTTCGGGCCGACGTCGCAATCGGGCCTGCCGCTCCGCGAGGTCACGCTTGCGGACCAGTTCCGCACGGCGGGCTACGAGACGGGCATGCTCGGCAAGTGGCACCTCGGCCAGCGCGAGGCCTACCTGCCGGCGTCGCGGGGCTTCGACAGCTACCTCGGCATCCCGTTCAGCGACGACATGGGCGCCGCGCGCCTCTCCGACTGCGGCAACGGGACGACGATCCCGGCGACGGTCACGGGCGACTGGTCGCGCGCGGCCTACGCGGCCCACGGCTACACGCAGGCGCTTCGCTTCGAGGACGAGGCGTCGGACCGGGGCGGGCGGTTCCTGCCGCTGGTCTCGCAGTCCAAGGGCGCCACGACGGTCGTCGAGCAGCCCGTGGACCTGACGCACCTCCAGGAGAAGTACGCGGCCTTCGCGACGGATTTCATCGGGAGCGCGAAGAAGAAGTTCTTCTTCTACGCGGCGCTGTCGCACGTGCACACGACGCAGGGCAATCTGCCCGACAAGCAGTACGCGGGCTGCGCGTTTCGGGGCACGTCGATCCGCGGGCCCTTCGGCGACGCGCTCGCCGAGGCGGACGATTTGGTCGGCTCCATCGTCGGCGCCGTCGACGGCGCGGGGCTCCGGGAGCGGACGCTCTTCGTCTTCTCGTCGGACAACGGGCCCTGGATGGTCCAGGCCGAGTCCGCGGGCTCCGTGGGCCACCTCTACGCGCGGTCCGCGGGCTACTGGAACGTGGGCAAGGGCTCGACCTGGGAGGGCGGCATCCGCGAGCCGGCCTTCGTGTCGTGGAAGGGCGTCGTCGAGGAGAACTCCCAGTCCGCGGCCGCGGTGTCGTCGACGGACGTCTTCCCGACGCTGTCCGAGCTCATCGGCGCGCCGCTGCCGACGACCCTGACGTACAACGGATCCTCGGAGCCGGCGATCTACGACGGCGTCGACCAGTCCTCGGTCTGGTTCGGCGGCGCGGGGACGTCCGCGCGCGACGAGGCGGGCGACTGCCTCTTCTTCTTCGGCGGGCCCCACGGCGCCGACGCGCCGTCGGCGGCGCGCTGCGGGCCCTACAAGCTCCACTACGCGACGGGGCCGGGCCTCGCGGGCTGCGACGGCTGCGAGAAGCAGTACTACGACCCGCCGATGGTCTTCCAGGTCGAGGTCGACCCGAGCGAGCAGTTCCCCCTGACGAAGAACAACACGCGCCACTACGCCGACGCGGCGATCAACGACGTCCTGGCCATGGCCGCGAAAAGCCTGAAGGCGTACTCGGCGACCTACGCCGCGGGCGAGCTCACGCCGGCGAACGGCGGCGTCGCGCCCGACGCCGACGCGGAGGTCGTCAACGGCACGGCGCTCTACGGCGTCTGCTGCGACCGCCAGGCCGCCGACACCTGCGACTGCGACGGCAAGCCCTACCCGGGGCGCTGAGCTTCTCGCGCTTTTCTCCCTCTTTTTGTTTCCGAATTTTTACAAGACTACTTCCCGACACTGCTCTTGCGACGGACTTTCTCGTCTGTCGCCGAGGCTTCGCTGCGGGCGCTCGGTCGGCGTCGGATGGCGTGTTTGAAAATCTTGCGGCCGATTCGTGGTGGCTCTCTCTCTAGCGCATTAGGCGACGCACCCCGCCTGTTCGCCTTGGCCCAAGGCTTGGGCGGACGCGGGCACTGGGGGGCCCACTCAAGGCCTTAAGGCTCTCAAGTCCAGACATTCTCCCGTGAACACGCTGTGGAATACCGGCCAGCGCGCGGCGACCAGTCCACCCGCGAACGTATCCGCTCGTCCAGACACGTCACGTGACCCCTCGACGACGCTTCGTCCAAAAACCATGGCCCCCCGCCTGTGGAAGATGCTCGTCGCCCTCACGCTTTCGGGGACGACATTCGCGGCCGAAAAGCACGGCGCGTCGCCACGACCCCGCCGCCGCCTCGCGAGCGACGGCGGCGACTGCCCCGCCGGCGAGACGGAGCTCCGCATGGACATCTACAACGGCCGCGTCCGCGACGCCGACCCGAATTTCTTTTACGGCGAATCCGACGCGTATCCGCCCGCGTCGAGAAACAAAGCGTCGCCAGGACCGCCACGCGACGTCGGCGCTCGTCGAGGCCGGCGCGTCGGTGGACTACCCGTCGCGTGACGGGCTGAGCGCCATGGCGGTCGCGGCGAAGCGGGGCGACGCGATCATCCCCTCCCCCCGAAACGCCGGCGAGACGCGTCACCCCGAAACGCGCCGCTAGGTACTGCGTCATGAAGGTGCGCGGCGAGGAGCAGTCGACGCGCGTGTCGTCGACGTTCCTCGACAACAACAACCCGCCGTTCATGGAGTTCTACCACTTTGGGTGCCAGCCGCACGACGCGGCCATCGACTTCCAGTGCTTCGACTGGGACCGGCGCCAGGACCACGAGGTCGTCTTCACGGGCGAGACGCTCAACGCGTGGCCCGCGAGCAACGAGCAGTTCCGCTGGGACGACCGCGACGAGCCCAAGTACCACTTCAACGTCGTCCTCGCCTACGACGGCGACGGCGACTCCGCGACGTCGTCGTCGTCGTCCAAGTCCACCCGCGAAGGCGACCTCACGATCGGCATCGTCGGCCTCGTCGTCGTCTTCCTCCTCGGGCTGGCCTGCGGCGGGTGCCTCCTCTACAAGAAGCGCGGGCCGAAGGGGCTCCCGACGACGGCGGCGGCGGAGGTCGTCGGCATGGAGATGGCCGAGGTCGTCGTCATCGACCGCGACGCGCAGCGATCGGCGGCCAAGCTCGCGTCCGCGCCGCCCGCGTCCGCGTCGTTCGCGTCCGCGCAGTCCGAGGCGGCCGAGGTCGATCGCGCGATCGCGCTCGTCGCCGAGGCGGAGCAGCGCGAGGCGCAGCCGCAGTCGCCGACCGTCGTCTAGCGCGACACATGTCCCGTTCCCCGTCCGCCCCTGTCCATCCCTGTGCCCCCTGTGCAGCTGTACTAACTCCTGGATAGTCGCGCTACACGAAGTCCGCGCGGTCGAGGACCGCACGGCGCAGGGTGATCGCATCTTAGGACCACGAGTATCACCGGAGGCGTCTTTTCGAGACGCGGCGAGACGATCGAAGCCGCAGTGCAGCGCGCCGACGCGCGCGACGCGTGGTTCAACGAAGACTGCGACTTGACGTTGAAGCTCGACGGCGAGGCCATGGCCATCATGCTGCCTCGAAGGTGTCTGTGGCTGCTCGCGCTGGGTTGCGCAACCGCGTTCCAGCTCGTCGCGGCGCCCCCGCGCCGCGCCCTGACGCCGGCGACCCGCTCGCGCGCCGCGGCGTCCGAGGAGCCCGCGGCGGCGGGCCCCGAGGACGGCGAGCTCGACGACCTCGCGGACCTGCTCGACGGCGAGGACGACCTGAGCGACCTGCTCGGCGACGACGACGACGACGACGACGACGACGCGCCCGCGCCGCCGCCGCCCGCGGGCGAGGTCGTCGCGTCGGCGCTGCTCGGCGGCCGCGTCGACGGCGCGCTTCCCGCCGCGCCCGGCGGCGGCGACGACGACGACGCGGGCGGCCTCGCGGAGCTGCTGCGCATGGGCGAGGCCGGCGGCGACGCGGCGTCGCTGGAGGCCGAGTGGCAGCGGCGCAAGGAGGAGATGGACTCGACCGCGGAGCGCAAGCGCGCGCGCGCGGAGAAGCGGCGCCGCGACGTCGAGGAGGACGAGCGCCTCGCGATCGAGAAGGGCCTCGGCGTGCTCCACAAGGACCCCCTCTGCCGGGGCGTCGTCGTCGCCATCACCTGCGGCACGCCCGCGGACAACGCCACCGTCGCCGAGCTCACGGCCGCGCTCAAGGGCGAGTTCGGGCCCCAGGTCGAGGTCGCGCACAACGTCGACCCGACGCCGGAGGACGACATGCCCCTCTTCGAGGTCTGGCTCGAGGGCTACCGCTACGTCGTGCTCCACTCGCGCAACTGGCACGAGGAGGGCGACCTCACGCCCGAGAAGATCGGCGCGATCGTCGACGTCGTCCGCGACGAGATCTCCGACGACGCCATGCTCGTCCTGGGCAGCTACCCGGACGTCGAGGGGTAATAGAGATCGGTCCGTCGGTCGGGGGCGCCTGTGGAGCTTTGACTTAGGCTATACCCGCGCGTCGATGCGCGCGAGGTCTTTTATAGCACTCTCGTCGCCCTTGGCAGCGGCGCGCTCGAGCCAGTATCTGGCTTTGCCGAGGTCGACTTCCGTGCCGTCTCCGTCCCTGTAACAAATGCCAAGGTTGAACTCTCCAAGGGTTAAGCCTTGGTTCGCCGCGAGCGCGAAGTACCAAAACGCTTCTCCGATTTTCTGCTCAGAGTAAAGTACAACCGCTAAATTGTTTTTTGCGAGCGCGTCGCCTCGATCTGCGGCCGCCCGATACAGCCGCTCCGCCTTCTTCTTGTCCAGCTTGACGCCGCTTCCAGTCTCATGCAATCTCCCAAGGTGCCTCACCGCTTCCACGGCCCCGAGCTCCACGGCGCGCTTCCAAATCTTCGCGGCTTTCTTATCGGATTTCACGAGGCCGTAGTGACCGAGGCGGTACGCGCTTCCCAAACACGTAATTGCTTCCGGCACCTCGTTCTCCACGTGGCGGCGCAGACGCGCGAGGTCTTCCGCATCGCTTTTTGCGCGCGGTACACGACAGAGGGGACACACGTCGGTGCCAATCTTGCCAATCTTGCCACTGCACGACTCGCAGACCTTTCGGCAGCAACAGACGCGAAGCACGCCCGGAGAATTCACGTCCCACTCCTCGAGGCAGATCGGGCATCGCGAGCCCCACCGCGCCGACGCCGGCTCCCGCTCCGGGTTCGCCTCCCGCCGAGCACGGGCCGCCTCGTGCTCCGCGGCGATGCGCGCGCGGACCTCGTCGGCGTGCGACCGCGGCGCGGGGCCGTAGAACACGTCCCGCGGCGGCGACGGCGCGCGCGTCGGCGCTTCCGCCCGCGCCGCCTCCGCGGCCTGGATCTTCTTGCAGACCTTCCGGTGGCCCCGGTCGCGCCAGTCGATGCGTTGGCAGTCCGTCGAACAGTAGGCCGTCGTGCCGCAACCTAAGCACGCCTTGGCCTTGTCGGCGCCGCAGATCGTGCAGGTCTTGAGAGTGTCGAGTTTTTTGCCCCTCGCTCGGGCCATGCGATTCTCATACTCCAACTTCTTCTCCCACCACGACATGACTCGGCGCGCGTCCTTTGCGGGGGCTCGCTCCTTTGGCGTCGCCTAATAAAATGCGCTAGAGAGAGAGCATTCGGCGAGCTTTAGGCTAATTTGTCAAAGGGCCGAAAGGCTTTGTGTTACTGAGGTTTGCAAGGAGTAGTGTATTGCCATTGGCGGGCTGAAAACTAAGTGCACGCTTCCTAGGCGTCCTTCTTGCGCGCGCGCGCCTCGGGCCCGTCCGCGGGCGCGAGGTCGCCGATGCTCTCCGCGGCGTCGTCGGCGGCGCGGCGCGTGCCGTCCGCGTTGCACCTGGCGGCGCCGCCCGCGCCCGCGGTCGCCGGGAGGGGCACTTTGTAGACGAAGGCCGGGTCCGCGAGCTGCATGGCGTGGATGTGTCGCATCTCGCGCCACGCGCCGACGAGCGTCCGCGGCGCCGGGCAGTCCGATGCGACGAGGTCGCGGATCTTCCGGAGGTTGTAGCACGGGATCGCCGCGAACATGTGGTGCTCCATGTGCCAGTTCATGTGCCAGAAGAGGAACTCCACGAAGGCGGGCAGCGCCACCGACCGCGTGTTCTGGCGGAAGTCGGGGACGGACCCGGCGAGGCCGCAGTGCTGCGTGCCGCCGACGAAGTAGCTCAGCCAGTTCCGAAGAACGAGTGGCAGCTCGTCAACAGGAAGACCGCGGGCTCGTTCGCGTAGACCGACGCGCCAAGCACGGCGGCGTGGAAGGCGAGCAGGACGCGGTTCCAGCGCATGGATTTCGCGGCTTGTTCGGGCTGGTCCGCGTGGAGCGCCGAGAGCCACTCGTGCTGCTTCGTGCCGGCATCCGCGGCGACGCCGCCGAGGGCCGCGCGGACCGTGAGCTCGACGCAGGAGAGCGCCCCCCCCTTTCCGAAGACGCGGTCCGGGCGGAGCGTGAGGTTGAGCGTGAAGAGCTGCAAGAGCGGCCAGAAGTCGAGGCCGGGGACGATCGGGGGGACGTTCTCGCGGTCGGCTTCCGGGTACTGCGTGTAGCGGTGGTGCTGCGTGTGGCTCGTCGCGTACTCGACCGGGTCCCACCTGAAGAGGAGCGAGTAGAGCGCGAGGAAGCCGTCGTTGAGCCGCTTGGTCCGGAAGACGGTGCCGTGGCCCATCTCGTGGCAGCCGTAGACCATCGTGCTGCCCACGGTGCCGTGGAGCACGACCGCCAGGGCCGTGAGCGCCGCGTGGCCGCCGCGCCAGCACGTCAACGCGAATGCGAAGGTCGCGAGCCAGATCGAGAGGTGCCCGACGGCCATGAACAGGCCCTGGGCGTCGCTGCGCTGGGCCAGCCTCGTGAGGGCGCCGCGGGGCGTCGGGCAGCGGTACCATCGGAGGTTCAGGCCCTCGCGCACGGCCTTGAGCGGCGGGAACGGGCCCTGGGATTGCACGTAGTGCTCCGGGCCCTCGTATTTCACGGGCTGCACCGAGGCCATCGGCGAGAAAATGTGCGTTCAATGAAGCCTTCATTGAAGAATGCATCCAAAACGTTGCCTCGCTCTCTGTGGTGGCCGCGCTTCACCGATTGCTCCGCTGACTCTGATCGATCGAGCGCCGCGCAACACCGCAAAATTGCAACGCTCGCATCGTTGCCACTCTCGTCGCGCGCTGCTGCACGCCGCTGCTGCATCGCCACCACTCGGCAACCATGCATCGCTTCCTGCTCCTCGCCGCCGCAGCGCGCGCCGCCGCTGCCGCCGACCCGCCGACCAAGGAGTCGAAGATGCGCGGCGCCATGCTCGGCGCGCTCGTCGCGGACGCGCTCTCGTTAGCCACGCACTACGAGTACGACGCCGTGAAGATCCGCAAGTTCTACGGCGCCATCGACAGGTACTACGCGCCCGGCGAGAAGACGGGCGGCGAGACGCATGGCGTCGGCTGGGGCGCGCGGAACTTCCACAACGGCAACGGCAACGGCCCGGCGAAGCGCGCGGGCGAGAACACGGACTACGGCGACTACACGCTGCTCGTCGCCGAGCACCTGGCCGGTAGCCCCGCGAGCTCCACCTTCGACGTGGCGTCGTTCATCCCCCGGTGGCAGGAGGCCCTGGGCGCGTGGCGGTCGTGGATCTGCACGCAGACGAAGCAGACCTACCAGCAGGTGCAGCGCGGCGCGCCCGTGGCCCAGCTCGGCGGCAACTCGAACGCCATGGCCATGCGGAGCGCGGGCATGCTCGGCTACTACGAGCGCGAGGACGACCTGGCCACAGCGGCGCGCGCGGCCATGTTCACGCACCGCGAGGCGAGCGCGCTCGACGGCGGCGAGTTCTTCGCGCGCGTCGCCCACCGCCTGGTCCACGGGTCGGCGACGCCGCGGGAGGCCGTCGAGGCCGTCGCGGCGGACTCGTCGGCGTTCGTCAAGACCAAGGTCGCGCAGGCGCTGGCCAAGGTCGACGAGGCGACGGACCCGGCGTCGGAGCTGTCGCGCGAGCCCTTCGTCGACGACCTCGCTTTGACGTCCATGGCGCGCCTCTGGGAGGTCGGCAAGAGCGAGCCCATCAAGGTCGGCAAGGCGAGCCCGACGGAGGGGACGCTGCCGGGCTCCGTCTACCTCATCGTCAAGTACGCCGACGACCTCGCCGCCGCGGCCCGGGCCAACGCGGAGGTCGGCGGCGACAGCGCGTCCCGCGCCGTGGCCATCGGCCAGACCCTCGGCGCCTACCACGGCGTCGAGGGCATCCCGGACAACCTCGGCAAGGGCGCGCTCGTCGAGTGGGACCGCGCCATGGCGCTGCTCGACAAGATGCCGCTCCTCGCGACGGCGGCGGGGGAACTCTAAGGAGGCCGTGGCGCCACGCTCGTGCGGCGCGGGGGCCGAAAGAGCGGACCGACGACTCGCGGTGGCGCGCCGCGACCACCCGACGGCGTGGGGAAGGGCAGTGGGCCATCTGCGCCCGCCTTTTACGCGTATGGTGCACATCGACGCGGACAGGGGCGACCTTCGCAAGGGGAAACGTCACTTCAAGAGTGAAGTGGTGCTGCCCTTTCCGTCGCAATCAGGTCGCCGCCGCAAAACCAGCCGCTGCGGTCCCTGTCACCCACCAAGCAACTCGAAGTGAATTGCCGCGTCCGCGGTGCAATCGCCGCTTCCCGACGCGCCTCGTCGTCTCCCGACCAAAGAATCGCCGCGCGCGCGGCCTCGGGGCGCGTCGACGAGATGGCGACGGAGAGAAATCGCCGATCGCCGACGGAAACATGCGCGATGCAAAAATCGAATCTCGCGCGCGTCCCCGCGCGCCGCCGCGACGCGCCGCCGCGCGCCGCGCCGCCCACATGCGCCTCACGCGCGCGCCGTTATTCCCAGGTGCCAGCCACGGCGATCGTCCCGCCGTTCGTGCCCGTCATGTCGGCGGTCGAGAGCATCACGCTCCGCCTGCAGGCCTGGGTCTACTTCGTGACCTGGGTGCAGTACGCGGCGAACCACATCACGCGCAAGTGCTACACGAACGTGAAGAACGTCATGATCGCCATGGGCCTGTCCAAGCAGACGCTGGGGCGCATGGACGCCGGGTTCATGTTCACGTACGCGTTCGGCGCACCCCTTGGCGGGCCAGCTCGGCGACATGTACAACCCGTCGAAGATCTTGGGCGTGGGCTTGTACGGGTCGGCGCTCTGCATCTTCCTGCTCATCTTCGGCATGTGGAACGGCTTCTACGACCTCGGCCCGTTCATGACGAACGGCTACTTCCTCGGCGTCTACCTCATCTTCGGCTTCTTCCAGGCCATCGGCGGGCCCGTGGGCACGTCCATCATGGGCAACTGGATGGTCACGCCCGGCGCGAAGAAGCGCCGGGGCCTCATCTACGGCACGTGGACGACGCACCAGTACTTCGGGAACATCGTCGCCCCGGTGATCATCATCGGCTGCAACGCCGTCGGCGCCAAGTGGTGGTGGGGCCTCATGTGGGCCGTCATCATCAACGCGTCCTGGGGCGTCGTCTGCCACCTCTGCCTGCCCTACTCGCCCGAGTCGCACGCGCGCGCGGAGGCGGCGGCCGCTTCCGGGTCCGTGAACGCGGCGCCCGAGGAGGCGCGCCAGGGCATCTCCATCAAGCAGGCGCTGGCGATTCCGTCCGTGCCCGGCTACTGCATCGCCTTCGGGTTCATGAAGACGATCAACTACGTCCTCTTCTTCTGGCTCCCGCTCTTCCTCCAGACGCACTTCGATTCCGACACGGCGAACATGATCTCGACGCTCTACGACTTTGGGATGATGCCCGGCGGCATCATCGTCGGCGTCGTCTCCGACGCCATGGGCGGCCGCCGGGGCTGCGTCATCGTCGTCTTCCTCATCATCCTCTGCCCGCTCCTCTTCTGCATGGCGCTCTTCGCGGACGTGCTCGGCACGGGCCTGCTCATGGTCATCCTCGCGTGCATGGGCATCCTCATCGGCGGGCCCAACAACATCGTCACGTCCGCCGTCGCCGCCGACCTCGCGGAGCACCCGTCGATCCAGGGCAACAAGGCCGCGCTGGGCACCGTCGTCGGCTTGATCAACGGCTCGGGCTCGTTCGTCGCGGCCATCGGCCAGATGCTCGTGCCCTACATCACGGACGCGCTGGGCTGGTCCGCGCTCTGGTACTTCATGCTCGTCTCCACGGTGATCTCCTGCTTCCTCATGCTCCCCAAGATCTACTCCGAGCTCTTCGGCTACGACGCGCCGCCCGTCCAGTCCAAGCCGGGCTACTCGTCCATCGACACGAACGAGAAGAAGGAGGAGCCCTAGAAGCGCCGCCCACCCCGAGCCACCCGCCGCCCCCCCCGCCGCGGCGACGCGCCTCCGACGTCGCGCGCGCGCCCCCCTATCCCCTTAATCGTTCATCGGGCGGACCCACACGAGCTCCGCGGCCCGCGGCGCGAGAACCAGCGGCTCGCGAGGTGCGTGCCGGCATTTTCGCTCCGCCGGCCGGGCGGCTTCGCCCCAGCCACGCGGCGACGAGCAGCGCGCCGACGAGCGCCGCGGCGCCGTCCGAGGCGGCGCCGGTGCCGGCCTCGACGAATATCTCGGCCACCTCCTTGATCAGAATCGCGGCGCAGGCGACGGCGCAGGCCGTGCCGTTGTCCGCGACGCGGCGCAGGGCGCAGGCCAGGCCCGCCGTCACGACGACGTTCTGCGCGAAGAGGAATGGGCTGGAAACGAGGTGAAATCCTGTGGGCATTGCGCATGTGCACAGGCAGCTTGGCGGCCAAACCCGGTTCAATGATATGCGTTTACCCGACATTGACCCGGGCCCGAGCCGTCGTATGTCGGGCTGGGTCGCGGCCGCCCTGAGGCAGCCTTTCGGGACTCTATGAGCGCGGACGGGGTGTCCGCGACGCCGGACGAACCCGCAGCACCGACCACTGCAACCGACGCGGCTGCTCGCAAGCCGCGCGGACCCGAGGTGATCCTTGTGAGCGACGCCAAGAAGTGCACCGCTGCGGTCGCCGCCGAGGTCCCGAACCAGTGCGACACGAAGCTCTGGGTCGTCGGGAGGACGCCGGAGGGGAAGTACGTGTCCCCGGCGCGCGTCACGGTCGAGAGGCGGCTGTTCCTGCTCCAGTCGGTGCCCGACGGGCTCGTGAAGGGCGAATTCAAACAACCGCGCTGGGGCAAGTTCTCGGCGCTCAAGAAGCCCGACGGCGCGCCGGTCGTCAAGGGCGTCGACTGCTTCGAGGTGCGCACGGCGACGACCCGCAGCCACGTGCTCGGTGCCAAATCACTAGAACTCGTACGTGAGCGGCGTCCGCTCTTTGGAGCCCGCGTGGCTGCGCACGGCGTCGTCCCGGTCGCAGAGCGTCTTGTCGCTGTAGGTCTGGTGTTCCCCGGAGGTCATGCGCGTCCTGGTCGAGTCTCTCATCGCTACGTACCTGAAGCGCCGCTCGAGCTCGGGGAGCACCGCAGGCTCCACCGACGCGGCGGCGGCGCCCGCCGTGGCGGACGACGCGGACGGCCCGGACCTGGCTGCGCTGCTCAAGTTTTTCGTCGGCGACGTCTTTGCCCTCCCGACCTTCCTGCGCGCGGCCGAGGCGTCCAGCGTCGACACGGACGCGAAGGCGACGTCGACGTCGACGGCCGAGACGAAAACGAAACGGTCCGACCCGAAGCCCGTGGTGGACAGCTCCGAGGTCTGCTCGTTGATGCCGCGGCCCGCGAGGCGCGGCCTCGCCCAGGCGCTCGAGCGCTGCGCCGACGTCATCCTCTACGATTTGGCTCCTCTCGCGAAGGAGGAGATCCTCCTCGGGAAGCTCGAGGAGCTCCGGCGCGACGGCGCCCCGAACTGGGACCGCGTGGCGACGACGGGGTTGTTGAAGAATTTGCGTGCGGCGTTCGACGGGTTCCGGAAATTGGAGGTCCGCGACGGCGAAGCGCTTCTTCAGCGACTCCGCCAACTCGACGCCGACGCCCATGAGCTCTCCCAGGCGCGCCAGCGCGTCCACGCGGCTCGAAGGCACCTGTCCAACCCCGACCTCGTCCTCGGGTCCCTCGAGGACGGCCAGACGCTCATCGCGTACGTCCGCCGCCTTTCAAATCTTCCAGAGCTGGACGCGGCCGCGCTCCCAAACAACGCTCGGCCGCTCAGGGATGTTCTGGACGCGGTCCGGCGGATAGTGGAGGCCAAGATGCGGTACTCGGCGTTGAGCAAGGGCGACGCCATCCAGGCGAAGATCCTCGCGAAGAACGGCGAGGACTACTGCGCCGGGGTCGTGAACAGCATGAGCGGAAGCCGCTCGGGGACCGTGAATGAGGAGGCGCTCGTCCATCGACTGGAGCTGATGTGCTACAAGAAGATCCTGTCCGGCGACCTGGGCGAGGTCTACTCGATCTGCCTGGCCGGCGACGGCGGAACGGGGACGGCGCCGGGCAGCAAACCGGTCGGCGGCCAGGCCTGGGCGATCCACGTCGGCGTGAGCACGGACGTGCGGGAGCTCTTCCCGAAGAA